TGATTTTGTAGTAAACTGAAGGGCAAATTGTGTCTCCTTACACAATTTACCACCTCTTACCTGGTAATCCTACTTCTTTCCTCTTTTTAATGGCAATGCAGATTTGATGTTCCAGGAAACAAGCCAATCATAAAATTTGTTCCGGAATACCATACTGTTACGAACATGGAAAGTCGCTTCCCAGCAATGTTAGTCTTATGGCTGGGAAGAGAGTTTTACAGGGGTAAGCATTGATTGACGGGCAGCGGCTGTTCCGGGATCCCTGACATTGGCGACAATTTTGGCGACTTGGCGAGAAATTTGGCAACAAATAGGTGATTCCAGAAAATGCAACCCTTTTCTCGATATTTCTATTAGGAAAGGGAATACGCTTGAATATACGAGAAAACTCCATGTTACGTCACGGCCTGTCGGAGAGAGTATATAAGGACAGCCCCTGGATCAGAGGGAGCAGCACTGATCCATTGGGAGCGACTTTAGAGTTTCGTCCGCAGTGCGAGCTAGGAAGCTGGTGAGCTGAGCGCTATTGAAAGTGCAGTTATTGTCGTTGCTAGTTATTTGCTGACTGTTTGTGTTGTTAAATATCGAAGTGCTGAACTGTTATTACCTGTCAATTGTTGTCTGTTTACATTGATATCCTGTGCAAGAACTATTGTTTCCTGTACCTGTGCTACGTGTTTTCCTGCATGTTTGTAAATAAGCCTTCATTCTCCATTATCCTGCGTGTTGGACTGTTTACACCATACACCCACAGTAAGACTTTTGCAACAATACTCATTCGTCTTTACTCCTAATTGGGTCACAAAGGGGATTTTTCAACTTCTTACCTTTCTCAGAATCTTTAAGGTTAACAATAATCCACCATTTTAAAACTCATCGATGAATTACTTAGTTCCCATGGTATCTTTTGTTTTTCTCTCCAGCTGCATGATCTAAAACAACACTATTGCTTTCATGAAATATATTTAAGATCAGTAACACATTTTGTTTTTCAAAAGAAGTGAGATATAAAACTTTCTGGGATAGCTTTGGTGCATTCTTAATCAAATTTGATTTTTCTGTTTCATATATATCTTTGAGATCTTGGAGCTTAGCTAAAGAGATTTTAGATGAATTGTCAGGTGAAAGAAAACATAAAACTTGTCCTAGTGTTTTTTCACTAAACCAATTATTTCTAACAGATTTGATCAGATGAACTGTATCCAATAAAAAGAATAACTTATTATCAGGCTGTACAGGATTTGAGATGCAGTTTACAAGATTTCCTTGGCACATCTGGGTGAACATATTTCTATTAATTCTATTGTTGTCAGAAATTAAACATGAAACATTGAACTTGCAGTCATTTAACAGTTGTAGGACCTTCAGAGTTTGGAAATAAAGGTCATCATCTGTTTGATTCTTCATGGGAGCTAAGGCAACTATTTCTTTATATTTTAAAAATAAAAATGTTATCATGAATACTTGAATAGTATGAGCTTGTTGATTGGCATGTTCTGCTTTTTCTAGAACTTTTCCACCCTTATAATTTAAGCCCGGATTTACATAAATTTGATATATAAGAAGGCAGATAAGTTTTTCACGGAGAGATAACAGTTCATTCTTTTTTTGAAAGTACATAATGTGATTATTATTGGAAACACTACTTGGGCCTTTCAAAGCATTGGATAATTTTTTAATGTATACAGGATGAGGTAAAATTAAAATTTTGGTACTTTTCCATTATCTGGCCGCAAATGTCGCCAATTGTGAACCAAACGCGAGCCAAGTCGCCAAAATTTGGTGGAATTCTACATTATTTGGCGATTTTTCGCTTGCGTCCGCCTAACGGAAAAGTACCCATGTCTGAAAGTTAAGAAATATTTATAGTGCATTTA